TCAGATTGATTGAGTGACTAAATTTGGTCTTTGATCCGTTTGTGATTAGATAGTTATTAGCTTATTATAATTTAATCATTAATTTTATTTATTTGTAAATATTATAATATCCAACTAGATGATGGTGGCCGGTCATTTTGCCGAAAGACATTTTGCCGCGGACATTTTGCCGACGGAAATTTTGCCGAAAAGACAATTTGCCGAAAATAGAAATATAGTCTCTGAACATAAAACTCATTGTTGACTTTGATTTGGTAGTGACCATGTTTTCGTTTTATATTTAGCTACAGCTGAGAATAACATGATTCATGAATGTAAAGGTAAAAGTTTATTATGTAGCCTATATATTTCATAAAAAGCATACAATGTGGGTGAACGTACGTGGGAGTTTTAAAATATTTTGTCGAAATGACATCTCTATTTTCGGTAAATTGTCCGTTCGACGAAGTGTCTTATCGGCGAAATGTAGTGTATTTTAGTTTAATTTTATTTGAGGATATTTGGACTGACTAAAAGAAAATGAAATGAATAAAATGAAAATAAATGCGAAAATTGAGTATTTTAAGAAATATCCTCAAATAAAAAAATGAAATTAAAAAAAATAGCGCAGGCTAGCGAAACGTCCGTTCGTCAAAAAGTCCATTCGGAAAAATGTGCGTTCGACGAAATGTCCGTCGGTAAAATGTCCGTTCGGCAAAATGTCTTTCGGCAAAATATCCGGTTACCCTGGCTGACTGACTGACCGAAGGACTGACCAAACTTCAGAATGAACCACCTCCTGCCTGACAGAGCATCGGATATTCCGGTGACTAAATAACCATCAACATACCTTCCTTTTCCAAACTTTCTTTCCTATGATAATACAGACACCCAGGAGAGTCTCCAGCGTTTCTTGATGGTCTTTTCGAACAATCGAATAGTGCTCTTTTTCCCGGATATAATGAAAAGTAGGTATCTATCATCGGCTTCAGAGACGCACTACATTCATTCACAAAATGAAGACACGTCTCCTTACAAAATTTCTTTTGTCTAAATACACTTGTGCTACGATCGCACCCTGGAAATGTATAGTAACAGCCAATGAAGTGAATTTGGTCCATGCATTTGGGTGATGCGGAACCATTTTGCCCTTTAGATAATATTTGATCGTATTGATTCTGTATATCCCACAATCTGGTATTCCAGTACTGTTGGTGATACCCAGGCACATTGACGTATTTATCAAGGTTAAATCCGTAATGTTCACAAAATAGTTTCTCCAGTCTGATGACAGGTTGACAGTCACCCTGGGTAGTATATACAGGCTCTTCCTCTGCTGGTATACATGAACTAGAAGAGGATATTCCTTAATATGGCTTTAGATTCAGGCTCATCTACAAAGTAGGGTGGTGTTCACCATTGTTGATACAAGATACATTTTGCAAATTTACATACTATGTAAATGTTGTCAAAGAAAATTAAAGGCTACTAGTTACGGTCACGAATAGGGCCAGAAATGGGACTAGGATTGTAAGTGCTAGGAACATTTTAAGATTAGGATATTGTTGCATTAAAAATGTGGTAATTAATATAAAAAATTACCAGGTTTTAAGTTTCGAATTTCAAAGGATATCATCATAATGATTTGAAATATGAATTATTTACCTGTATGTTAAGAATTCTAAATCATCGTTTCCTTAAAATAAGATGTGTAAAAGTGAAATCAACTACACTGAATTATGCAAGAACAGAGATGTAGGGGTAGCATTATAAACTTTAGATCCCTCGGACTCTTGAGAGACGGACTTGATCCAAGTCTAACACGTGTTGTGATCGGCTTTCCAAAACAAAAGTGATCTATGTTTATGACTCGTTCTTTAGAAAGATGATTTCGATAGTACTAGTTCATTGTCATTTTCAGGACCTGTACATACATACATACATACATACATACACACACATACATACACACACATACATACATACATACACACATACATACATACATACATACATACATACATACATACATACATACATACATACATACATACATACATACATAC